TAAATAATCCAATGAATTATTTCTGAAAACAACTTTTTTATTTGTTATAGTCGTCACAAACAGGAACTCATTTGATTGCAATACAAGTTTTAGTAGATTTTATTTATAAATTATAATTATAATGAAGTTCAAATTTTATTGAAACTTTTACTAAAGTAATAAACTTAAAATGTTCGTTGCACATTTTAATATTAATAATTCTATATTATAAATTGAATTATATCATTTGAATATTACAACCTAATGTATCACATTTGGATTAAATATTTACGTTACATATTATTTGAGATTTGATAAAATAAGTTTTAATAATTTAATGTAGCTTACTACATTATAATTCAGTTCAATATAGTAATTTATAAAACTACTTTATATTACTAATAAATTCAAAGTTAGCTTTTTAATTTATGATTTAACTAAACATTGTATTTGAATATTAATTTAATGTAGCTTACTACATTATAATTCAGTTCAATATAGTAATTTATAAAACTACTTTATATTACTAATAAATTCAAAGTTAGCTTTTTAATTTATGATTTAACTAAACATTGTATTTGAATAAGAACAATTAAAAATCTATAATTGAAGTTATACTTAACATAGACTAGAACTAGACATTAACCATGACGATTCTGACGTTTAAATAAAATATATAACTTTTGTAATAGTTAAACCTATAACGTTTAACATTATATTTGTAGAATCAGAATATTCCTTGATATTCTTGTATAATTGATAATTGTAACTGTTGGCTATAATTAATATTTTGTAGATAATGTTATAAATTGCTATTTATTTATAAATCATAAAAATGCTCTATAAATTTTATTTAAATTTATCACAACCTTATTTGTAATTATTCTGGGTGTAATATTTATAATTCAAAATAAAATCATTACATATACTGTAATACAAATGCATTTGAAAATACATTTTCAACATTTGATAGCATTTGATAGATTTAAATCAAGTGACTGTATACTAAACCACTGTATTATACATTTGTCTCATTTATGGTCTCTTATGTAACAATCATTTCATGAAAATGCTATTCATTTCAAACTTCATAAAAGATTATTTGCATTCAATTGCACCAAAACTTAGCATTTATTTCACAATTTATAGCTAATATTGAGGTCTTATGTAGGACTTCATATTCAAGTGTTTCTACAAATATATACCAATATATCAATTGACTAATCATTGCATAACACATTCAATTCAATTATAGATATTCAACATTTAGTTATATTGTAATACAACTTCAATATTAGACTAAAAATTAAATATGTTTTGTACAGTATTAGAGCTATGATTACACAATAATTGCATAAATAGTCAAATATATTGAGAATATAAGTGTGAATCAAATGCTAGTCTATAGTCAAATGAAATAATAGTGAATTGAATGCAAATCTCGGGTTTAATGACATTCAGTGAATATGCGGTCAAATATGCAACACATTTGGTGTAAACAACTCTTTGCGAGTCTCAGTAGCACTGCATTGGATAGTGAGAGCCAATGCAATACAGCGAGAGAGCAAAATGTGCGCACAATTCACGCCATAATAAACAAACTTTATTTATGACGAAACACTGAATCCAGTATTGGGCGCATAGAGGGCCAGCCCTACCACACGTACGGGCGCCTCATAGACACCACTCTTTCACTACTCAGACCCCAGTAAATGCAGTGACAATTAAATTAAAGGTAAAATTAACACTCGTTTATAGCAGTAATTAATATGATTAGAGAAATGCATGCAATGGGTGCGAGTGTGTGCCAAAAGGACTGCACCCCCGGGTGTGCCCCCTGTGGCCCACCTATGGGTAAGTATTGCTCAACAGCAGTGACACAAAGACTGTGCGTTCAGTGCATTAGTGTTGAAAGCATTCATTCATTGCATTGCTTTGTATTGAACTCAAGTCTATCCACAGCTCAGCCATACATCCAAACGTAAGTTACTTTCAATTGATTTCGTCACTCATTTTGATTGTAATCTGAATACTGTTTTCGCTTTTAATCATTCATTTGATTCACAATTAAAGCCCCAATTCGTGTGAATCGATGGCACACTAGCGGTGCCTTCGGTTCATATCTGTAACTGATATCCATTTGATCCCTCAATACTCCACCCATTTCTCAATACTTAACCCAATGTTTGCCCCAAAAATGACACACAATTTGCTGTTGTCTTGAATGTGGGACCAAACGTGTGTTCATTTGATACTAATAGTGATGTTTCTATGGTTTGAATGGCAGGTGAAGACCAGTGACTGATTCATTGAATCGGAAATCCAAGCAATTATTGCGTCACTCATTAGTATTGCATAACATTTGACTGAACGCTATATCGCTATCAGTGTTGACATCACACACACTGTCTATACGTTTGTGAAGCCATTGCACAACCATTACGTTGAGTACGAGCACAACGACAGACACACCGATGGCTCCCATCACTAAACTGCCGAAGAAGACGAAGCCGTTCGCTGAGGAGGACCTGAAGGCCGAAGAGCTGTCCTCGTCGTCGATGTCTGGCTCGGAGTCTAATATGGGAAGTGATAGCAAACAGTACGCGAGAGTGAATCGCGTGGTTCTCGACAAAGATAGCGATGAGTACAAGAAGAGACGCGAACGCAATAACCTCGCCGTCAAGAAGTCGAGGAACAAGTCGAAGGTCCGAACCCAACAGACTCTCGATCGCGTGAATCAACTGAAACAGGAGAACGAGATGTTGGAGACGAAGATCAAGATCTTGACCAAAGAACTCAATTTCCTCAAAGACCTCTTCCTGGCTCACGCGGGAACCGCACACAACGGACAGCTCCCGGAGGTTGACATGAATTTCCT